GATAAAATATGTACCACTAACACATCCTAGTATGTTAGGTTCTAGCTCGGAACAGTTCTTACCTGTTACTTCAGACTGGACCCAGAGGTTTGGAGGGATTTGTTGGATTTGGAATTGGTGGGATTTGAACACGTTGCCTTAGGGAACTCGGTCTCGTACTCTACTAGTAGACCAGCTCGCCCCCCTATTGAGGATTAGGTCCTTTAAAAATCCCACTTACTTACATCGAATAAACTTCTTTAAATAGTAGGTATATAAATGATCAATGTGTTTTTTTTATTAACTTTAGTAATTTTCATAGAACATTTTATACAGAAAAATAAGTGTAAAATATTGTTTACTTGGAAATGATGTGCACTTTATCCTCTAGTTTAAATATGGGTAATATTCTCCTACAACTCATAGGCTGCTCCTTTTAGGATGGTTCCAAATCTGTAATTCATTTGAGGTAATCTTGAATAGCCTCAGATAACACAGGCAATTTCCTTTGCCGATAAAGGAAGATCTAGAGAGCAGAAAAACAAACGAACCTACTCCATATGTTATACTTTATAACAGTAATGTATGAAATTGTTCTATTTGATCTTGTTTACTTACCTGGTCCTCCAGTATAAAGTGATGAGAGTAGCCTCAAATCTGAGAGTTGGTTCGATTCCAAGCTAGATCGTGTCTGGAATCGGATGAAATTTACCATTCTATAGTCTACCAATTAATTAATAATGCTATATAATAGACGTTAATAAGTTTAGACGATAAGACTGGACCGAAGTTCTTGAGTAGCGAAACCAGGGTACCTTAGAAAAACGCAAAATTCCAATAAATTAGATAAATCACAAATACACTCCGTACACTTCTTCACTGAAGTTCTGATTACTCTAATTCCTATAACCACCATTGACTTGTCATGGTATAAGACCAATGGTAGCATATGCACTAACATGTCAATGAATATATTCTTCATGTTGACCCGGCTCTCTCCATAGCCTTTGTCAGCTTTCGGCACTTTCTATACATTGTTTATCACCCGGCGCTGTTTGGTGTTTACTGAACAACCTTGGAGGCTTTGGTACAGGAAGAGATATAGTTATGTTAGTTCCTTGCTCCGAATGTAGCCTGCGGAGAAATTCTTTTCGATACTTTAGTGATTTGTTGACTGCGAGAATGCATTTTGTGTTATGGCTGCTTGTTATGAGCTTTCGTTGTATTGTTTGGTGCCAAATAAATTGTTAAGGATACGAAATGCTCGTGTATTTAATTTGCTGCACACGTATATCTTATGTTGAGTTGCTCTATAGTCATCAGTAAATACTATACATACTTACATAGATTTTAAAAGCACGTAATTTGTTTAATTATAGATTTAGTTGACAATTGGTATAGCAATATTTACGACACATTCGTTGGTGTTCAGTATTCTTCTTTATCCTTCATCGCCCATCATTTATCGTCCATCGTTCTCCGTCCTTATCCTTTCATCCATCTTAAGTCCATCATTCTCCTCCTCCCTCTTGTATCCTTCATTGTCCTTCGTCTTCACTCTTCATCCACCAATTTTAATTCCTTCATCGTTGTTGATGGTCCGCAGTAGAGTGTACAATATTGGCAATCATATTTTGCGTTGTTAAACCCAAACAAAAATGCATACAATTTATAGGATTTAAATTTTAAAAACAGATTCAGATACACAAGGCACACTCCGGTTTATACAATGTACATTTTTCAATTAACACTTTTAATAGAAATTCATAGTTTACTTAACACAACTCGTATGGTATAACTGACATTGTTGACTTAGAATTCTCTACTTTGACCAAAGTATACAGGTGTAATAAGTGTATAGCATCTAGCAAGATTTAACAGGGTTTGATAAAATTTTTACGTGAATCTCAACAAAATAATCACAACTGTGTTGTTTGATTATTGTACATTAGGTGACTTCCAGTAGGTGACTGCTGAAGTTCCAGTATCACAATAAAAGCTCCTTTAAAACAATAATAATCAAACGGTTCAGTAGTTTAGTTGGTTATCAACCTTGATAAGACTATATAAATTGAGCATACTACCAGCATACATGTGTGATAAAGTCATGCTGGCACCCAAATATGTCAAACAATTCCTATCAGAATTCGTCAAGATAATATATTTAAATTGAGGAAACTTTAGTTCGAAAATGCAGAAATGGTAAAGCAGGTACCCATATAATTATAAAAATCTGTCAACGACATAGGATACTTGTTAGTAGAGTCACCTATTGAGACTATTTCGGGAATGATTATAGCTGCATAATCATTTGGAGGAGATGAGGGCCCCAATATGGCTCCATCTATATTGTCTATCTGCAGTCGAAGCTTCAGTACTGTAGTATATATAATTGATTTGGACCCATTTCCTTACATGTATGAAATATGATTTGACTGTATCAGTACTGAGTTTTTCTCTATCCTGCACCATTCATTCAAGCCCCCCGTCTCCACGACGGGTACCGTTGTACCATTGTAGCGGGGCCGCTATGTGGACGCGGTTGCCGCAAAATCGCCGCAATTTGGATGTTTATTAAATTAGCGGCGAGCGACGGACGATTCGCACGACGCGCTCTTGGATGACGCCTCGTCTCGTGGTAATGACAGCACAGAGCTACATAGCACAACACAGCACAGAGCTACATGGCACAACACAGCACAGAGCTACATAGCACAAGGCAGCACAACATAGCACTACATAGCACAACACAGCACAACACAGCACTACATAGCACAACACAGCACAACAGTACAACACAGCACAACACAGTACAACACAACAACAGCGTAAAACCGCATCATTACACAACGTAAAAAACCTCAACTCAGCCCAGTTACAGCATAGACGAGCAACACAAAACACAACACCAATACAGCTAACACAAAAGCACAACACAACATTGCATAGATCAATTCTACACAGTATAAACACGATACATCACTACAACAGTTCAAAAACACCAAGGTACAGCATGGCGCAATACAACATAGCTTAAAGAAGCACAATACATTATAACATAACACAGTCGCAAAAAGTTAAAGCATAAAACGTCACATCCTTACAAGTCGTTTCCCATTTGTAGAACTAATAGAAGACTATAGTATGTATGCTAGAACCTGTCTCCTGGTCCTCCTTCTACGTGGGACTGGCACAGGACTTAAACCAATGGCTTGTCCCATGGTAAACCTGGAGGGTCAGCATATAGGTTCCACCATACAGATTATAGAAGAGGCAATACAATAGAGAGGTTTGTACAAGATTTGTGACGAAGTCAAATCCTTAGACTCTGATAACGCAATGCATCCACCTTCAAGTGAAGTTCTTCACTCAATATTATTTCATTTAGTTAAATGTCAGTAGTAGTATACGTAAGAGAAACCACTAGCTGGGAATCGAAGGTCTTCATGAACGTTTAATCCTCGTGGACTATTCGAGATGTTATCTCCATCTCGTCCAACAATGGAATGGAGGAATGGACTTCCCATCTAAACTCGTCCATTGTCTTAGCCACACATACACTTTCCTTTCGTGATGTGTGTAAGAAGTGAAATGGTGCTGTAATTCCGAATATCTCTTTGTTACGTCTTACATTTTCCTGTGTTTGGAGGGGTTTTGGAATATAAATTAACGGTGGTGGAATTGTGTTTTTAATTCAAAATTTTTTATAAATTCTTTTAATTAAAAATTTATCTCCATCTTAGGTTGATCGATCCACCTGGATCACCTCCCACTTTTATTTTGCCTCCTCCATGAGTTTTACCATATTTTCAACATGTTCCATTATGTAGAATGGGTGTTGACGTTTAATGTTTATTTCTGGCAGTTTTTTCCCACATCTTATTAAAGTTGAAATTATAGAGATTTAAGTAAAAATCCAATATCCTCATGGGATAAAGTGTCTAAACTTTATTTAGCTTTTATACGTTTAATGGTTCTTTCAAACACTTACAAATCCCCCTAATAGTAAGAGCTATGCGAAACCTCAGTCTCAATGCATATCCCGATTCATTCTTTATTTCCTACTCGTATAATTGATGAGATATTCATTGTCTGTAGCAATTATGCAGACTTCTGGTCATTGAACTAATCTTTAGTACCCCAGTTAAGGACATTTAAAAAGGAGACAACTCAAACTTCTTTTTGGAAAATTGGTCCTTACCCCTCAAAATCTCTGGATACGTTAGTCAAACCCACTCTTCTTCTTCTTCTTCTTCATCTTCTTCTTCTTCATCTTCTTCTTCGTGATGTTCCAGTCCAGTGAGCTGAAACCCTACTGGACTAAGGCTGTGTTAGGACTTTGTCCTCTTCAAACCCACTCTCGCGCTGGGACGCTAACCATATAAGCAACTCACCCTAAATATGTTCACCCTTTGATGGGAACCATCAAACTTTCGTCCAGCCTATTTCCCCAAGCAGACTAACCACAGAGATGCTACAAGGGCACCAAATATTGTACCACAAGGGCAAACCCGAGGCCTAAACTCAGAAAACACTAGTTATTGTAGGTCACCTGAGGAAGACGGGCGAGACACCAAAGTGTATTTATCGATTATGCACAGCATTGTCCGCCGCCTAGCCTCGTCCGCCTCGTCCATGCTCTGACCTCCGTTGCTCTTCCTTTCACCAGGGAAAGTGACTCAAATCTACATCACATCAGGTGTGTTGTCTCTTGTTTGGTATTCCGTGGACTTACGCAACCAGGTCATCCTTGGACAACTGAGGGAGATCAGCTTCACTTTCGATTAGAATAATCCGATGATTACGTCGTCATCGGAGTTTCCCTTCTTCGACGATGTTTGAGACTTTCCATAATTTAACTGAAACGCTGTCTTACTTTGATTGATTACTAAGCCAGATTTTAAAATGTTGTAAAATGTAAATTTTCTTTTAAATAGACGTATGGATCAACATATTTTAGCTGTGTCTGCACAGCTTACCATCTACACAGTAAGATTTACAATTGTTGTATTCTGTTTCAGGTACTGCAAACGGAAATTTTCATGCCATACGAGATTAGTAAGTATGAATTTTCACAATGGTAAAAATAAAATTCGAAATTTATGAATGGGTTACGCGGTTACGGTATTGCACAAAGGTTTGCACCTTAACAAATGAGAAGGCCTAAAGGTCAGAGAGCTTAAGTCATGTTTATTTACTTACTAAACTTTGTTATACATGTAAGTAAGTAGTAAATATTTACATTCCCTCCCTTAAGTTTAAACTGGGGTTTATACACGTCCCAAGTGTTAATGTAAACTTCCCAATTATATCGTACGACCTGTAGTGGATGGAGAACTTACTCCAATGCTGAAAAGTCCTTTATACAAACATACACACGTATTGTTTTCAATAACTCAATGTTACATCATAGATAAAACGTATCGATAATATTGTCAATATTATCATACTGAACAATATTATACACACAATAACAACAATAACAATAACAATATTAACAGTATGAACTTGTCATACTGAACAATATTGTGGAACGTGACATGATCAGATGAGGAAAACCTCTGTTTCTTCTGCATCTCCAGTCGTCCCATTCCATGGTCATCTCCACTCGCTGACCTGTTTTCCCAGCAGCCAGTGATGCATGCTTTATGCTTCAGACTATTTAACTGTTGTTTTACTAGATGCATGCACGGTCCGAGGACTATGTAGATCATGGTGTTTGCTTCGTCATGTCCGTCCTACGCCTTCTCTTTCCCTATGCTGTTTTTCATTCCTCTTTGTTGGTTTTCCTATTTTCGTATTTGAATGAGGTGCTAGCCCAATTTCCCACGAGAGTAACCCACTGGTTTCTTTACTTCCGCGTGGCCGTTCGATTGTATTTTATTCAGTCCAATTTCAGCCCCGTTTGTCCGGTAAATAAGAGTTTCGATGAGACATATAAAGCAGTCATGCAGTTTTAGTATAGCTTAGATATTTAAAACTATGCTAATACGAAAACATACCTTATGTGCTGTTTGTGCTATGTTACCTACCATTAATATAGTGTATTTTGGTCACCTGTGGGGATACAACTTGTTTTTATGTTTGCTATTTGCTTGTTGTTTTACCAACTTGACTAATGACTAGACAAACCATGTAACTTAATTAGAAACCACGAATATTGAAACTAAGGTTTGTCATATAGTATTTACATCAGAGGTTAAAGCGCACTGCTTAATTTATTCTACAAATAAGATAAGTATTTTTACAAGACATGAAACTACCACTATCGCCAGAAACTATCACCGGAGACTCTAGATTTCTTAATGGAAATAAAACTTGATGTATTGAACGCCAATGCTACATGCATAAAATTATTTATATTTATTCAGTAAAATATCGCTTAGCTGCTGGCTATGTCGTATTCTAACCTTTACAAAATAGGATAATGAAAGTCCCAATCTGTTACAGCCATAAACCTAGGCTGATAATATTAGTTACAACCGCAGTCAATCAATGTCTAAGGTTCTTAACGCGGAGAATTGTTGAGAAATTGTTGTCTCGTGATCTAGAAGGCCTTGAGACTCTGCGGTGACAAAATAGAGTAACGAACCTTCTTGATCTGACCACTCTGCAGCTACGAATCTGGCTGTGAAGGAATCACCCAACCTTGGTCTGCACCATGTTCAGGTCTTAGATGTATACTACAGTCTTGTTAATTTAAATTCTTATAATAGGGGTAGACACAGTATGTAATTAATATGTACAATAACTATAGCGTATTAATGTCTCGAAATACCTCTTTTCAGAAATGGTATGGATCATAAACATAATAAAATTATGTTACTGGCCCGAAAGTAAACAATATTTGACATGGAAGTGTCTAAACCATATGTTAGTGTTATAAGTTTGGGCCAGTTACGTCATTTGTTTATGTTTATGTCCGCTTTCTGTTCTAATATTCGTGCTACGAATACAAATTGATCGTAAACAGATGTTTCAGCTTGGTTATCGACCAAGATCAGCTGTTCCTTTGTCAGGACCAATCCCAGTAATCAATAACAGCTGGTTTCTGTTTCGAATTGTAAAAAAAACTACTGCATTTTCTCGAAATTAAACACACTACCACCTTGAGAATGTTAGGACATTGCAATAATATAAACACTAAAGAACAAATAAGTGGGCTTAACGTTGGGTGTAACGTAGGCTCTGAGTATGAATTAATAATTTGTATCTTAATTGATTAACTCACAGAATCAATGTAATGCGCTACATGTTGCAACGAAGTATCCATGTAGACATGTGAATAACAATGCACGATTACCACGATCATGGGAGTGTTACTGTTGCATTGATGTCGATTTGAATAGATTACAATGTATTCGCAACTATACAGTATAACAAGCTACTTAGATATAGTGGGTTGAGCTACCTAATACTATAAGCCGTAGGCTCAGAGAACCCATTTGGTATAGCTGTATATCGTTGTGTATGAGCTATATTTTTGTAAACCATTTCTCGTACCTCGGTAGTATAACAAAATAATAATCCAATTGTCAAACACATCGTAAATTACGAGAGATTTGTTTAGTCGATTCTTATCATCACACTCAAACATCACATGAAACTCACGTAAAAGAAGGTTTCATACTTTACAATAGAATGAGAAGTCTACTTGCACTACTTGTAGTTTCATTCCAGAGATTTGGACGGTTTCACGTTAGTTACAAAGCAAAAATCGTGATTTTTTCCATCTTCTGAGGTATTCAAAAATTATACTGAAGTGCTTTCTATATAATTCACAAACGACACACACATTCTGTTATCAAGGAAAATCACTTATTAAAAAGTCGTGATAGGTTACCGTCGGGGTCAACTAGACGGGACGAACTTCTTCTGACGCTCAAAAACTAGAAATTGTGGACCTTTCCCAGTCACGACGAGGACTAACGATGGATTTACTGTGTGAAAGTGAATATCAGCGAGTGGGTGCAAAGTACCGTCTGATGATGTTGAGTGCATCCGCGGAATGAGGGAAAGTGGCGAATCATCAGACGTCAGCTGTTAAGGGTGTTTTGATTACTGGAATCATGTTTAAAACTAGTGAAGGGTTGCCGAGCCTAAGAGGACGAGTTTGTGAGTGAATGCTTGTGGAATGTTACAGGTCGTCTTGGAAGTGGTTGATGAGAAAGTGCAGCAAGTTGTGGAGATTTTAATATACTTTTAAAGATTTAAAAGTATACAGATGTATAGGTAATGCCATTTGAGAGGATTCGGCTTTCGAAAAATTGCTTGAAGGCAAATTTGCCATTTTTGCTATTATAACACTATCTAACATAGAAGCAAACATAATCAAAATACTTAAAAGATAATTTTAGTTTCCACGTCATGTTAATACCTATTAGAGAATAATTTAAAATTGCAATACTCTGAAGGATTTATACCAATGAAACACTATTCTCATAACTAATTGCAATAATACCTTGAGTTAAAAATAATGTAGATGTTCTTCCTTTTTGGATTACCTGGGCCAGCTTCTAAGAGAATTCTGTGGTTATTGTACTTAAACTTGAATAATATCATTGTCTAGTTAATTGTAAGGATCGGGAGTTAACCGAATTCATACTAAAAAGAACAATATTTGACGATCCGATACACAGCTATCCTTGGTTCCGGGCTAAACCAATGATTCCATTCAAATCACCTTATCTTACTCAATAAGAAACATAAACATGTATCTTCACTCATCCCATACTTTAGTAGATGCAGTCTTTTAATCAGATTCTGTATAGCAATACAGCTGCGTTGACTCTCATCGTAATATCTACTGTAGTAATTAACATGCTGAAGTTAAAACTCAGTATTGACATTTCTTTAACATCCCATTCATACTTAGGGTAATATACGATCTTTAAAAAGTATAAGGAACCTTTTAACTCAAACCACAACTTCCCTTAATCATTGAACATTTATTGAATCTTAAAACACAGTTGATAAAATGTTCCCAGCCACCTCGGCAAGCCGGTAGCACCGTAGTATTTCACAATCCCCGTATCTTGTCCCAAAGCCAAGACTTTATTAAACCATTAGCTTGTTCTAACTGGAACACTTGTGATATCTGGAATCTGACCCTATTGATGGACGGTAGCAACCATCAACCAACACTCGCTCGCACACTTCCGAACTGGTTCTGCTTCTCGCACTCGTCACACGAGGCCAATTAATTGGTTTCAACCATAAACCAACTTGTACGATAACCCAGTCCAATCGTCCAATCGTCCAATCGTCCGTGGCGTCTCAATCAGGGAATCTTCCTAGACATTTACTGCTGTTTGATATGTTTCCTGATTAGGATAACGGTGTTTACAGTTAGGGTGTTTAGTAGGGAAAGCGTCTTCGACACTGTTTAAATTTTGGCCCCAACTGAATGTAGTGTGGTATCAATGTTTAAGTGACACATCAAAACAACACATTGTTTTGTTACCGTAAATATGTTGTAAAATAATTTTATCAATAAGTTACCTTAACATAGTAATGAGGGTATGCAGATCAGGCCATCTAAATCCACCAATGCTTACTGAAAACCATCCAAAACATCCAAATTCTGGTGCACATAAAAACTGATAGACCTGGCTAAAAGTTTTCCCATTCGTAAAACTATATAGTATTTTGATAATAAATATTGTATAATATAATTTGAGTCATGAAATAGTAATTGTTGACATAGGTTGTTTTTACTTGATGAGGAGGAGTTTCTTAGTATGGTCAGCAACTTGGGATGTAGTTAGATGTGTATTGGGATTGACTTTAGATACTGGAAATATACTCAACCTATTGTGAAATCTAGCATGCTTTGACGTGAGTTCTATCTCTATCTCCGGATACTTTAGCACGCTGGTTTTACTTATTTCATGATCAATTGTATCACAGACTAGGGGATTTTGTTCCCTAGTCTGTGATTGTATGCTTCAATCTTTGTATTGATATGTGTTTAACATACGACAGAAAATCTTAGCTTGTTTACATAACGTTCTATCTGGTATTTTAATGGATTAGACGTTAGAAGCTACAAAAAGTAA